TTAACGATTTTTTTTTGTTTTTGTTTTTTGAAAAAATTATTTTATAATAGCGTTTTTTGAAAATGTTTGATACAACAATTAATTATTGCTTAATGTTTCCTGCATAGACTATTTTAAAAGACTGTTTAAATAATACTATAACAATCTATGTAATAGATTGTTATAGTAATATTTTTTATGTAACATATAGTACATCTATGTAATAGATATCACATAAAAATAAAATAAACCAGTACATCTATGTAATAGATATCACATAAAAATACAATAAACCAGCAAATAGACCCTGTAAAAATTGTCATACTGCCATGGATACCATAACTATGCATTATACTTAAAAGTTTTGTAGAGTAGGTATAAACACTGTATTTTGCTTTGGTAATTCTTTACTTAATATTTTGTCACAATAAATCAATATTGCATCCAAATAGTTATCCTGGTGTCTATCAGTTAGATTGTTCATGTGGTGTGAGTTATGTCAGTAAAACAAGAAACAAAATTTCCACTCATATTAATAAACACGAAAAAAACATTACTAAAAGTAAGTGGAACGCATCAGGAATAGTGGAACAATTAACTGGACTAAACTAAAAATAATTTTTGTTACTCCTAATAACTATACGCGTAAGATTCGCGAAGAAATTGAAATACTGCATTTACAATGCTTTAAATTGCAAGAGAATGTCTTATCTTATTACCTCTCTCAAAGTTAAGGCTAAACAATTTGCAAAGACCTTTTCCTCTAATTTTACTCTTGAATCTCATGACCATGCTATTCCTACCTTTCCAGTTAAACTGGTTGACCTATTGTTAAATATCCAAATTCCTCCAACTTCCAATGCTTAAGTCATTTCTCAATTAAACTCTTTTACAGCTTGTGGTCCAGACAAAATTCCTGTCAAAGTCTTACAAAACTGTTATTAAGAATTCTCTTCAGTTCTCGTTAAACTATTTAATAATTGCTTGACTGAATATTGTTTTCCTACCTGCTGGAAATCGTATCTGTAGTTCCAAATTAAAAAAAAAAGCTCTGAGATCTTTGATTCTCTATTGGCTGTTGACATTTAAGTCTTATAATATATCAAGACATTTAAGTCTTATTATATATCAAGACAGATGAAGTAAAAAGAAGCAAATTTGCTTCCTTTTACTTCATCTGTCTCTTCATGCTCTAAAATTTTTTATTAATCTAGTTTTTTTCCTTGCACTTTAACCCTTTGGAACTCTCTGCCATATTCATGTTTTCCTGACTTATATAATCTTCAACTTTTGAAGTCTTCTGTCAACTGTTTCCTTGCTCTATAACTCTATTCTTTATTTTCTAATAGCTCCTAACTTAATAGTGGCTGCTTGCAGCCTTGTTATATGTGAATTAGTGTTAAAAAAAAAAGTTAAACATATAATTCTAAGTATAAAGTGTAGATCAAAACTCTTGTAATTATTTTTAACATATTTTTAACAACTTGTAGTCTAAGCTTATAATTCAAAAATTCTTGTAATTTAAACATAGTTTGAAATTATTATTAGAGTTATTTAAGTTTAACTGTATGTATATATGTATGCGTATACATATACATACATATATATGTATATATACATATATATGTATATATATATATATATATATATATATATATATATATATATATATATATAAAATATATATATATATATATATATATATATATATATATATATACATACATATATATGTATATATATATATATATATATGTATATATATATATATATATATATATATATATATATATATATATATATATATATATATATATATATATATATATATATATATATATATATATAATTATTTAACTACAGTTGTTTGCAAGTATAAAATTTGTTATAAATTTGTACAACAAATACATTCTAAGCAACAATACAAAAACAAATCAAATAGCTTGCAACTGTCTTAACAAAGATTTATTTTCTTAAATCATTATTAAAATAATATTATAATATAAAAACAAACAATTCTATATATCAACTGCCTGCCATCTTCTCTAAAGATCATACCTCATCTAGTAGAAGGTTCTGAATTTGCATAATTGAAACTTTTTTGAATTATATAATAATCATATTAGATTTTTTAGCATCCATACATACAAAGATAATACTGGGCATTCAAAGTTACCATGGTGACTAGGATGGTTGTAATCCTGGCTTGAGTTGACCTTGCTTAATTAGGCTTAGCTTAGAATTTTGAATTTTTCAACCTCTGAATCAAATTGGTTTGACGCATTTTGATGCATTTTGATTTGAATTGAGACAAAGTGGTTTGACGCATCTTGATGCATTTTGATTTGAATTGAGACAAAGATAATCCCTTTATTAATGATGGTAAAGCTTGAAAAAAAAATTGGCTATGACACTAAACTCACTAAACTAAAGCCTGTTTGGCTAGTTCTTGGCTAGTTTTTTAATATAAATTAATTTTTTAAAAATTTGGTATTCAGTTAAACTTGCTACTCAGTTCATCCAACTGGAAGCTGAAACTTAGAAGTATATATATATATATATATATATATATATAAATAAATATATATATATATATATATATATATATATATATATATATATATATATATATACATATATATCAATACATATGCAATCACTACACTCAATACTCAATACTACAATACTCAATACACTCAGCAATATATATGTATATATATATATACATATATATATATATATGTATATATATATATATATACATATATATATATATATATATATATATATATATATATATATATATATATATATATATATATATATATATATATATATATATATATATATATATATATATATATATATATATATATATATGTATATATATATATATATATATATATATATATATATATATACATATATATATATATATATATATACATATATTTATTTATTTATTTCAATAAAAAAAAAATGAGCTTGTCATTTCAACAATTAAAATCTCAAGCTGGTGGTACCGTTAGAGTTATTAGTTATCCTAGTAATGATGAAAGGGAGTAAGAAAATGAAAATCCCATTTAAAATATGCAGTTTTGGAATGTTTTTTAAAAGTTCAAATAAAATTAAAAATAGGTTAGATTAGCATAAAAATTGATTTTCTTCTTTCCATTAATAAAGTTGATTAATTTAGTGTTGTGTTACCCTGAAGCCATTCAAACAGCTAAAGGACTTTCCAAACGAGATTTATTGTTTTTTGAAACTGTAATTCAATTTATCAAAAAAAAAAGTTGAATGAAGCAAACACACTGATTAGTCAGCTTGTAAAACAGCTATTTGAAAAAAAGAATTGCTGAAAGGGAAGCCTTTCATACAATACACCTAATGATATATTTTTCAAACCCAGTTGACTGCCAAACTTATGAAATATTTTTCAAACCCAGTTGTTTTAAATCAAGATGGTCAGTTGGGGAACAAAATGAAAAGAAACAATGTAACAAATCTTGCCACTAATCTTATTCAGAGATTATTCCAGCTGGGCGAAGAAGGCTAACATTTTTTTCTTGATTTTCATTGATATTTCTCTTATCGATGTAGTTTTTGCAGTCATTTTGCTGGTGCTGCATGTATGTGTATATCCAGCTTTTTGTGAGTGTATACCATCTTATCACTTGCATCTGATTCGTATCACTCTCTGTATATAATCGTATCATATAACTTGCATCTAATTGTTCAAGAGTCGTATCAAGAATAAGAATTAAAAAAATAAATTAAAAATTGAGGAGTTCCTCGACTTCAATGGGGGATGTGAATACAGAAGGGAGGGAGGTAAATACAGTAAAGTAATTAGGATTATTTACTCAAATATTTTTAAGTGACATTAGTAATTGATGTTATAAAAATTAAAACTAAGTTATTAAATAATTTATGAATATTTTTTTAATGCAAATGCGTTCCTAGTTTACTACTTACTACCTGATTACTACCTGCTGCGTACTACTTGCTACTACCTACTATGTACTACCTACTACTACCTACTGCTAACTATCTGCTGTGTACTACCTGCTACTACCTACTGCTTACTACCTGCTACTACCTACTTGCTACTACCTACTGCTTACTACCTGCTATTACTATAAATTTATTTTAAAGTATGTTTATAAAGTTTATCTTGTTTTTTTATATATATATTTTTTTTATTTTATTTATTTACTATGGTTTACTTATGGTTGATGACGATAACTTTTTAAATATTACAAAGAAAGTGATTATTATATAGGTGAAAAATGTAAAAATTATTTTATTGTTATGTAAACATTTTTTTTTTAGTTAGACTTCTTTCGTCGAAAAAAAAAAGAATCTCCTCCTGCAGCTCCAATCTCAGATGACAATGAGGAGGATAATATTAAGTCAAAAGCATGCATTATATTATGATTTTATTACAGCATACGCCATTATGATTTCATTACAGCATAGAGCAAAAACGAAAACTTTATTGATTTTTTTTATCGCTAGTGCGCTTTTAGTGTTTCCGAAAGAACTTATTTGGAGAAACATTTGCTTCATCCCTTCCCGAAATCACCTTGTAAATCTATTTGCGCCGTTTGTCTTTGTTAACACTTTTTTTTCCCCAATAGAAGATGTAAATAATTGTTTTATTTATTTTATAACGGTTTTAAGACGTAAAAGATTTTGTGATATCGAAAATTTTTTTGTATAAATATAGAAATCCTTATTATTCTGTTTTAAAAGAAACATGTATGCATATATATGTATATATATATATATATATATATATATATATATATATATATATATATATATATATATATATATATATATATATATATATATATATATATATATATATGACACCTCTAAAATCTTATTAACTGTATATGGCTAGATTGAAATTTTTATTCTGGTCAATACTTATATAAGAACTATGAATTGAAAAAGTTTGAAAAAATTTAAAAAGTTATTTACGTTTTAAAAGTACACTTTTATATAATTATATAAACATATACATGAAAAACATAGAAAAAACATCAAATGTTCATTTAAATAATCGTCTTGTATTATAAGCTAGTGTAAGTCTACGCAGAAAAGTATAACGATGTATGCAGTACAGCACTATGCAGAACAGTATAAATTAAGTTAAACAAAAAAGAAGCATTAATAAATTTTAAATTAAATCATCGAATAACTAGCTATCTAAATTTGTATTGATAACTTCAACCGAATTGTTACCCAAGAATGTAAAAGCCTCATAGATATTATAAGAATTATAAAATCATGTTTAGCAAAAGGAATGAAATACTATATGCAGCTTTGTTTTAAATAATAATTTTTACGTTTTAATTATTGCAACCATCTCCATGACAACCACCGCAAACTTCTATGCATTTAATTCCATGTTTCCAACATGTACAAGAATTTGTGCCGCGTTGATTCTTTGAAGAACTTTTACAATTACAACGTATAATTAACAATAGATTTTGCGCCGCAACTTCTTTATGAGTTGCGCCTGTATGAAGAATCCCATTTTTATTCGTCAAGCCCCATTCTTCTGGTTTTAAATTCTTGTTATTATTAAATAGCTTCCCGGTTATTATTTGCAAATGCACTCGAAGTCCATGGAAATACGCTGGTCTTTCGGTTGGTGGCATATTCTTAGGCTCTAAAAGTCCATTACATGTCATATCGAGATATTTTGTGTATTTATATAAAAATATATTCGAAATTTATGTTTAATAAATTTCTAAAGAAAGTTCAATAAGTATTAACGCAATTTTATTAAAGTCTCTCAAATTTAAAAAATATAATTGAGTGTCATAAAGTGCCCTTTCATAAAGTAAATATAAACTAACCTAAGCTTTGTTAAGTTTCATGGTTGCTTCTACCATTTAACTCTTTAAATGTTTCTATTGAATTTTCACCAACCTTAAATTGATTTGCTTGATAATCACTTATAGACTACGCGATAGCATGAAGTTTTTTGGATTTTTTTACCAAATTAAAAAAACTTATCCTTTTCCAATTATTACGTATGTTTTTTGTTTTTTTTTTAAATTTTTTTTTTTTTCTTCTCCAGGTATACCATATAAAATATACATTTATTATCGTGATAAAAAGAAAAAAAATATATAAAATTATTACTTATCAGATTGATAAAAAATACATTAATATAACTTTGATACATTAATATAGTATTGATGCAAACTTAATATAAATTCTGGTATAATAACTATTATATATATGTTTATTTTTTTCTATACTTTAATACCTAAAAAAAGGAAATCAAAGAAGATTCAGCATTTTTGGGTATAAAACTCCAAAAAAAAATCTTTTCGCAGATTCCCTTAAGGTGGTATCCAGCCATTAGTTCTATTTTTTTATATTTTACACATAATAAATACCTATGATGAATTACTAGCATAATAGATAAAGATCTAAAACGTAATGCAATTTTTTTTTTAAATTAATAAAAAATAAATGCTGACTCAGCAAAAAAAGGTGAAAATGTTAACGTCACAAGAACATAAATATCTTAAGAATAAATCAATATTAAAGGTTTAAATTTTGCATAAAGCTAGTACACTAGTGTAGCTAGTGCCTGAACTAAAAATTTTTGAAAAAAATTTAAACAATCAAAAATGGCAGACTTAATGATATAAAAAACTATTTTTAGCGATAAAACACTAATTAGATATGGTAATTGTAGGTTAAGCTTAATTTTTTTAAATGTTTTTTTAGGTTCAGGCACTAAAAACATCAATAATGAACATATCCTGAAAATTTGAAGCTAAAATAATGTTTTTTTAATGAGATATCATTGTTTTGCTACAGCTACCCGTACAAAAAACAAAAATTGAGAAAAATCAATTTTAAAATTATAAATCATGTATACTACTCAGATAAATCATTAAAAACCACCAGCACAATAATCTTTTGCAGTTTCTTTATCTAATTTTTGTCCAAAATAGTTTCTTCTAACAGATCTTAATTTTTTTATCTTTTTTTTTGTTTCATCTGACATTTTTTTGTTCATATTTTTTAGCCGTATAGAGTTTTTTTTACTTGCACCAATTTCAAAGTAACTACCAGATTTAATATTAAGAGCATCAAATACAGAAGATAACTTAGCAAAACCATCATTATAAGTAATGGTTGCAGAGTAAACAGCCATTTCAACAACAACTTTAGAGGTGAATATAGTTTTAGGGGATCGGTTCCAAATTAGTTGATTAAACGCTTCATTTCCATTTTGAGTCATACCATGCAAACATTTTGCAAGCATATCAGTATTTGCTAGATCTTGAAATACTGGCTTGATCTTTTCCATAATGGCAACGGGTAAATTCACCTTTTTTTTGTATGTAACATGACCAGTTGCTATATCAGACTGCCATTTACACCAGCTTTTTTCACCCATAGTGCAAAACATATGACGATATTCTCCAGAGGTAAAATTAGTGCAATGATGAAGTGAAGCTATTACAGAGTTCCTCATTTCCAAAAGACTATTTGAATTTTGTCTAATAGCCATTCCAACATAATTTTGCAAGATGTTAATTACTTTATCCGTGAGACGACCTTTACCAGATATACTTTTTCCGTCAGATAGTTTTACCCGTCGTAATTCTTTTCTTTTAAGATGCAGTCGATTCCCTGTATGCTTCTGGTAATGCCCAATACATTCTAGTTTTATTGGAACAAGGTCATCACCATAAGGTTTTTGTGCAATAACTGTGCTAAACGAGGTAGTGTCTCCGTCTCCGAGATATTTAGAATAGCGAATGTTATATTTATTTACTAAAGAGCAAAATATTTCTGTTGCACCAGATGACTCCATCGCACCAGCTGATTTAGTGTGGTTTACTTGGCAGGAATGATTAACTTTCCACTGCTCATATTTGAGTGTCCCTTTTTTTCCTTCCCAAATTTGACATCCTTTACAAAACTTAGATAATGTAACAGTATCCAATACTTTGTTGTTGTCGTGAGACGTTGCTACCACAACACCGTTTAAAGAAGAATATCCTCTTTGCTGCCAGGTACCATCAATAGAAATACCACAATCAATAACATCATTCATATTAGAGTCAGGTTTCAGTATTCTCCTAACTTCCATAGCAGCATTTTTCATACTTTGCTCAGCGACTGATTTATAAGCATCGTAAAGTTTGCTATTAATACAGTCAAAACTAGGTTTTGATAAAGGTGGTGGCATGTTCATTATGGAGGTAAAAGTTAACATTGCATCTCTGCCTCTGCCAATCTCCCTGAATGCCATAACACTGCGTACATTAATTTCACTAGTATTTATACCAGGTTTATTGTTTTTGACAACAGGAGAAGAAAAAAATGTATTTTTAAAAGCACAACCACTGCAATAAATTTGAAAAAACAAAGAAAAACCCAAGTGTCTTGAATGATCATGCAACATGGAAAGCTTTGTACCACATATATTACAAGTAGCATACTTTTCAAAACAACTTTTCATTTGTTTAAAATGCATAAAAAATATAAATTCGTCGTCATCAAATAATGTTTTTTCAAGATTATTTTTTAGCTTTTTACTACTTGTAGAACTTCCTGTGTTTGTATCAAATTGCTTATTGGTATTATTGGAATTATTATGCTGATTGCCGTTAAACTTTCTTTTCCTTGGTCTTATTATTCTTTTTTTGTTGGCCATAATATACTTTTCAACAACTTTTTAACTGTAATAGGTAAGATATAAAAATTTAAAGTGTAAAGCACTATTTCATTTTGGACTTTGCAATGACATCGCAAATGGTGGACGCTTTTTTCAAACCGTTGAAAATAACTTTTTAAAAGGAAAAAAGTAAAAAAGAAAAGAAAACATTTATAAATTAAACTAAAAATGAAATCAACAAAAAAGAAGAATAAATAAATCTTGTAAAAGAAGAAAAGAAAAAAAAAACATCTGAAAGAAAATAAGTAAAAAACTTACGAAAATAGAAGTTAAAAAAAAAAACGTTAAAGGAATGAAATATAAAAACAATGCCAAAGAATGAAAAAAAAAAAAATTCAAAGAGATGAACCTCGATCGGCAAATCTAGATTTTTATTTATTTTTCATACATTTTTTTAGCTTTCTTTCATATATTTCTTAGGATTATTTATTTTATTATTTATTTATTTTTCTTCAATTTTTTAGCGTATATAGTTTTACTTGTTATTTTTTGTTAGTCATTTGTTTGTTTTTTAGTTATTATTTATTTTTAGTGGTATATAAATTTTTTATACAGTTATATATTGTTTGTTTTTATTTTCATTTTTAGCCATATATGTTTAATTCTACCGTTTTTTGTTATTATCTTTTTTAATTTTAAGTTTTTTTGTTGTTGTTGTTTGTTTTGTTTATTTTGCATAGTTTTTTGTTTTGTTTCGTAATGATTGTTGTAAACTTGTTTTGTTTTGATTTTCTCAGTGTTTTTCTGTTTATATTATATTTATTTATTTGGTCATAATATTTGCAATATATTTTGATTATTATATTTTTACAACTATGATTATATTAATATATTTACTAAATCTTTAATTTTTTTTTAGTAGTAGTCGTTTTTATGTCATCGTTAGTTGTTACGTTTTGTCAGTTTATTACTGTTTGTAACTGTAACTTTGCATGTAAAAATGATTGCTGTAGGGAAAATACCGATTATTTAAATTATTATAATT